TTAGTCGTTATTTGAGCGAGAGGTGCCTAGTAGTTCTTGAGTTAAAGACAAACAAGTATGGGGGGGGGGGACTTTCTTTTTTGGTTGAGTGTGTACAAGTTTTACCTGCAGGGTGTGGCACATGTACGTGTATATTATCCATAAGACATACATGTACATAGCGGGGCACCGCGCCAAATATGGGATTGTTTGTGGCAGCTTTTTCATTGGGGATTGTTGATAGAATTTGCATCAAGGTCTGTGAGAGTCAATGGTGGATGACCTGAGAATACAAACCCAATAAATTAAATGGGGTAGTGACGTTGGATCGAGGAATGCTGAACTTGAATAGATTCTAAGCTCTCTGGCTCGCTGTAGGTAAACTATTGGTGAATGTACCATTGTACAATCAACAATGAAGTCTGGGTACAATTTATTTCTCATAAACCGATTTTACGCACTCTATGGCTATTAAATACAAGTGTGTGTTTTTTTGGCTGTTGTCGAGTAACATGTACAGGCTAGGCCACCATGAGTCGAGGCCAAGCAGAATGAGTCCAATTTGAGTCTGGTCTTTTTCCAGAAATCCAGCTACATTGTATTCTAGTCAAACATGTCAAAGTTAAATGATTGATTCTAAATTTAAGCTATTTAAATCCAAGTCTACATGTACATGTAGGAATGAAATCTTATTCAGACCACATCATGAACTATGAGCAGTGTTCAAGGGACAACATACAGAGAACAGTTCATGTAATTATGACATCCTGCTGCATAGTTTCTTGATAATCTGCAGTGAAATCGTATGATGATGGTTCTATATAAATTTACTTTAAGTTTATTTGAGATGCCTACTGAGCTCGTCACAATTATGTTAAAAAGTGAAGTTAAATTAGAACCATTGTTGAGTATACTGCGATGTGGGAATATTTTATCCTAATGGATTTTCTACTTGTAAGTTATAGTTTAATAAAAAAAAGTACATGTGTTTTCTAATTTAACTGTGTGCAAATTATAAAAGGCGATGTACATGTAGGCTGCTAATGCTGTGAGCCAATTTACTAAAGAAAAGCATGTTGAGTGTGCCCACGGACCATTGTGGTCCATGGTTTGCCTAATACAGTATTTTTCACTGAGGTGAGTTCTCCAAATGAAATGAAAAGCACCTGCAATGCATGTAGTTCCATATCGCCATTGTATCTTTACCTGCAGGGTGTGGTAATTATTATCCGTAAGGCATAAGTAGCGGGGCAGCACCAAATATGGGATTGTTGGTGGCAGCTTTTTCATTTGGTATTGTTGACAGAATTTGCATCAAGGTCTGTGAGAGTCCATGGTGGATGACCTGAGAATACAAACCCAATAAACAGGGTAGTGACGTTGGATCGAGGAATGCTGAAGTTGAATAGATTCTAAGCTCTCTGGCTCGCTGTAGGTAAACTATTGGTGAATATACCATTGTACTATCAACAATATAGTCTGGGTATTCAGTTTATTTCTCATGAACCAATTTTACGCGATCTATGGCTAATACAGACCTGTGTGGTTTTTTGTACTGTTATGAGTAACATGTACAGGCCAATTAAGGTACCGGTACTATATTTTGGAGGAGTGGTAATTTCTCTTGGACACAATAAACAAGTTTTGTTTCATCAGATAGGCCTACCAGTAAGGGCTACATGTATGAACGTGCATGTACCGTAGGCCTGCATGTCAGGGCCCTAAAAGAATAGCAGTTCAAACAGCTGAAAAGGCTACCCTGCTGAAATATACTTCAAAAGATGTTGCTTTATTCCGTAATTAGGACTTGTTGATAACAAAAAGGTTTCAGACAAAACAAATGTTTTACAACTTTCAAATTGTACAATGTAGTTTAATTGTACTGCATGTTGCTCCTCTGTTATGAAGTTTAAGAGGGAATTTAGACTTTTCAGAACGTTTTGGAACTGGACGCAAAAAGCTTAAAAGTAAAACTTTATATTTGGAGGGGGTGCAAGAGTCCCATACATTTCAACATAGAGCTCTGCAAAGGAATCTTCAAATATCAAAGAAGCTGTAAATATTTTATCTGTATAACATTTTTACTGAATAATTACAAGAATAAGAAGAAGCAAATTTGGACTGATTAAGTTGGTTGAAATTGTTCTATCGGTAGTTCCAGAGGGTCAGCCCAGTATCATTTTGATAGCTGACTGACAGGCAGGTTCAACAGTACACCTGGTGCTTCTCAGCAAATTCTATCTTGGTTTACTGTTTATCTTTGTAATAAAATTCGTACCTGGCATTAGGAAATATTGGTAGTCTCCCATTTAATTTGAATAGGTACCTTTGTATGGAAATGCAATAATTAAATGGAGTATAACAATAGGTTATGGATGTATTAAGCAAAAGAAGGCCTTTCCAACGTCTTAAGAAGCACCGTTGGAAATTTCCATTAACTTGTAGTTTGTTTATTCAGCGAAGCGCGTGCAAGCGTTGACACAATGCACATGCGTGCGCAGTTGCTATAATTCGTTGCTATAATTCGTTGCTATAATTCGGTGCGCGAAATTGCGTAGCTGCAATCCGCTCAGTGAGAACTGTTTCGGATGCTGAATTCAGGCCCGATTCAAAACATGATTTACATGTAGCAACTTTTGATTCAAAATCGAGATCGTAGAATGTTGTTTTTCTTGAAATATACAGCTGAAGCTGAGCTGAAACTTCATCAGGTCAGTTGTTCAGCACCCTTCTATAGATTTTGAGCACTTTTGTTGCTTCAAATGAACAGAATGCGCAAATTACAAATGATGGACTATATCTTTAACCGTGTGCAAATTAATTCATGAGATGTACGTGTACATGTGCAATGTAGGCTGCTAATGCTGTGAGCCAATCACTCATTACCAAAGAAAAACTTGTTTGAGTTTGCCCACGGACCATTGTGGTCCATGGTTTGCCTTTTAATACAGTATTTTTCGCTTAATAGGTGAGTGCTCCAAACGAAATGAAAAGCACAGGCAATAGTTCCATATCGCCATTACACTCATACACTCAACCAGAAAAGAAATCCCCCCAATACTTTTTGTCTCACTCTAAAACTACTGCGCATCTTTTGCTCAAATAATGACAAGTACAGAAATTCCTTAGCAATCCAGCCATACTCTTTATTTGGCACAAAATAGCGATAGGCCTAATTAATGTCCGTACACAGAGTTGAGTGTGAACATTTCGTCTCTAACGCAATCTTCCAACATAAATTTCATAAAAATAATTTCAAGTTTTGTTGTTTATGTTTTTACCCTTTCCTTTACTGAACCTCAAAGAACATGCAAAGTACATTTATGCAATAAAGGAAATGGTGAAAAAATGTTAAGAAATCAATTTTAAGAATTTTTTGTTGGAAGAGATGAAAGTGCATTAGAAACAAAATGTTCACACTCAACTTGCAGCTGTACAAAAGTGCAAATTTGTTTCGGTATCATTTGTCATAAGTTGTATAAATGTGTACACACTATCACTGTTTTAGGGCCAAATTAAGAGTATGGCTGGATTGCTAAGGACTTTCTGTACTGATTAGTCGTTATTTTAGCGAGAGGTGCCTAGTAGTTCTTGAGTTGAAGACAAACAGTTTTGAGGGGGGGACTTTCTTTTATAATTGAGTTTACAAGTTTTACCTGCAGGGTGTGGGACATGTATGTACATGTATGTTATCCGTAAGGCATACATGAAAGCAGCGGGGCAGCACCAAATATGGGATTGTTTGTGGCAGCTTTTTCATTGGGTATTGTTGACAGAATTTGCATCAAGGTCTGTGAGAGTCAATGGTGGATGACCTGAGAATACAAACCAAATAAATGGGGTAGTGATGTTGGAATGAGGAATGCTGAACTTGAATAATTTCTAAGCTCTCTGGCTCGCTGTAGGTAAACTATTGGTGAATATACCATTGTACTGTCAACAATATAGTCTCGGTATTCAGTTTATTTCTCATAAACTGATTGTACATGCTGTATCACTAATGTAGAGAAGGTGTTTTTGCTGAATTGAGTTGAGTAACATGTATACAGGCCAAGGTACTTTTTTTGGAGGAGTGGTAATTTCTCTTTGACACAATAAACAAGTTTTGTCTTCACAGATACCAGTAAGGACTAACATGCATGTCAGGACCCTTAAGAACAGTTCAAATTACTGAAAAGGATACCCTGCTGAAATGAAAGCAGTATACTTCAAAAGATGTTACTCTATTCTGTAATTAGGACTTGTTTGATAAAAAAAAAAAGGTTTTACACAAAACGGGATGTTTGACAACTTTCAAATTATAGTTTGTGTTGCATGTTGCCCCGTTGCTCAAAAGGCAGTGAAGCAGTTCCAATTTTCGTGGTATACCGACCCACAGGGGGTCTGACAATTGCCCAGTTCTACTTTAATATCTCTCCGAGCATGACGTCAGTTTCACATATAGATAGGGGCTGGGCGGAAGAGGTTCTTTCATTTGATAGTAACCATGGTAACAGTGGATCCGCTCTTATCGATTCTGAACTGTACATTTTCAGTATTGCAATAGATTTCAGGCATGCAACTTTTTTTTGGAGCAGCTGATTTCCTCTCTTTTTTTATTCTCATGTCATTATGCCTCTCAAAATTCAAAAACAAATTTTGGAATTTCCTTTTTTGTGTGGTGAATTTACAGTTGCATGCCTGAGATTTAGATTGTGGAAGAGATAAAAGCATAAATCCTACAACACTTGAGGGTGGGGAGGCGGGTGTGCATGTGGTTGTCCAAAGTTTGATGTGTTGGCATGGTGAATTCCCTTCCAGACAGTTTCTTGTGTTAAATGTACCATCAGTAAATAATGAGTATGGACATTCAGACTCTGATACGGAGCATGAGGGTTAACTAGGAGAGGGAAAACATGGGCAGGGATGCCCCTCCCTCAACACTGCTGTTTTAGAGGTTTTTAGCACAATGCAGGTTGTAAAAATAGTGTTTAAGTTCCTTCCTACACAAAGTTAACTGTTATGTCTTTATATCCAAACAGTAATGGACGTGTGAACTCCTTCACTGCCACAGTCGGCTACCGAAGTAATGCCTTTCATGGGTTAAAGGTGAGTGAATTAATAGACCTACATGACGTCACGCTTTGTTTACATGTACGTGCTTTCCTATGGGAGCTTGCATGGTGGCTCTCGTGCCCACCTGGCTCCCATAAGAAAGCACACATGTAAACAAAGCATGACGTCAATAGGTCTATTAATGACTGCAATATTATTTTTTCTGCTGATCAGGAATGTACAGCTTTTTTAAAATCTTTGTGACTGAATGATGTGATTTTTAAAATAAAGTGGGTCTCCAATTTCAAGTTTTAAGTTTTTAAACTACTTTGGACTTTTATTGTCAAGGTTTCAGAAAGTTTTGCTGGTCACGTAGCAAGATTTTGTTCATGGGTGGGGTGTTAACAAAACTGCTGGCCATGTGCAGAGAGCACAATCTACATGTTGATCATTACCAGCGGCTATAACCCACTTCCCTTCTTTGCCTTCAGTCCTCCACGCCCTTTTTGACCGATGGACTGACTGACCAACCAATCAACCACGCCCTACTGACCAACCACAGAGCAACGAACGGATCGACTGAACGACAGATTGACTGACCAACCAACAGACCGACCAACTGACTGAATGACATGTACATTGTATAGCAGGCATGCAACTTTTCCTCGGATCCGCTGATTTCCTTGTGTTTTGCTTTCATGAATACCATTACAAATTACACTGTACCAAGTCTTGTGTGGTTTGGAAATCCCTCGTTTTTTTAATTCCCAGTTGCATGTCTGATATAATGACCAACCGGTCGACCAACGGACTGATGGACTGATTGACTGACCAACAGCATCCATTTTGTGATTTTACCAGTGATTGTGCTTTGCACTCACAGGATTATACCAGGGTTGGACTACCGAAGCTGTCTGCAAGTAAACTGTGCCCACATCACCAGCGCTAAATGGCAGAACCACTGGAAGAGGGAGCCCAAAGACGAAATGAGACACAAACGCCGCAGACACAAACTAGCCCTGGCCCAAGCACAGCACAAGACAGACAGGCAACTCCGACCCAAGAAGTACCGGCTGGTAACAAACAACCTTCCCAGCAGGAACCAACGCAACAACCACCGCGGCAACTACAGCCAAGACCGGGTGAGACACAAACTAACCCTGGTCCAAGCACAGCTGCGACCCAACAACTACCGGCTGATGGAGTGAGGGATGATCAACAAACGACTCAGTCCAGCAGCAGACAGCCTTCCCAGCAGGAACCAACGCAACAACCACCACCGCAACTACAGCCAAGACCGGGTGAGACACAAACTAACCCTGGTCCAAGCACAGCTGCGACCCAACAACTACCGGCTGATGGAGTGAGGGATGATCAACAAACGACTCAGTCCAGCAGCAGACAGCCTTCCCAGCAGGAACCAATGCCACAACCACCGCCACAACTACAGCCAAGACCGGGTGAGACACAAACTAACCCTGGTCCAAGCACAGCTGCGACCCAACAACTACCGGCTGATGGAGTGAGGGATGATCAACAAACGACTCAGTCCGGCAGCAGACAGCCTTCCCAGCAGGAACCAATGCCACAACCACCGCCACAACTACAGCCAAGACCGGGTGAGGCACAAATTAACCCTGGTCCAAGCACAGCTCCATCCCAACAACTACCGGCTGATGGAGTGAGGGATGATCAACAAACGACTCAGTCCGGCAGCAGACAGCCTTCCCAGCAGGAACCAACGCAACAACCACCGCCACAACTACAGCCAAGACTCGGTGAGACACATTTGAACATATCGTCTGTAAACCCTGCATGTTATGACTCCCCTGGCCCTGACATCGGTTCCCTGACAGCATCCTTCCCCTCCATCCTTTGCATTGACGCTATTAGGCGCAATGCATATAGCGTAGCAGAGTCCCTGAAACAAGGGGTACCGCACTGGTGTACTGCCCCCTGTCACCACATGGCGAATTACTCGGAGCATCCGTACTGCACAATACCACAACCAATAAGTGACTAATTGAAACACAGATAAGGTCACACTATCCTCACTGGAATGCAGTTGCCAGCTGTGGTATGTTGTGGTACACGGCTAGTCAGGTAGTTCCACAGCTGCTGTTTTTGTGCAGTCCTGCTACCACACAAAGGCTGTGCAGTCATGCAGGTCACTTGCTCCTTGTATGAAGGAATGCCCCCATTGCACCCCGTCCTTAAGCCATATTTTGCATTCTTCTGATTGGTATGCCTCTTCACAGAACATAATTCACTATACTTACTTACGTATTAGTACTCATCCATTATTGAATACACTAGGAAAGAAAGGCATAAAACCCTGTGCAACTTCAGTCCTGCAAAATCCTCCAACTGCCTTCATGTAAAAATTGCATACAGCCTCAATCCTGCAAAAGGCTCTGTTATTTATGTTGTCCTTGAAGGGGTGACCACTACCTCAATCCTGCAAAATCCTCCGGCAATCACTGTCAAGTTGTTGAGGCAGAGCCAGTGACATCCTGGAGCAGTGCGGAGGATAAGTACATGTATAATGTAGGCCTAAATATGTGTGGCTGAGCATAAACAACAAAAGGTCCAGTGCATCCTGCAAAATCAGCCACACATTTCTGCCATAAAGCCTCAATTTTTTGCAAAATGTTCCATTTTGCTGAGAGGATTTGGGGAGGTTAGGCCAAAAAAAAGTTTCCAGTTTCTGGTTTGTACGTGTGTCGCCGTAGCCGTGCGCGTCTGCAAAATTAAAAAGTTTTTTTTAAATGTAAGATGATGTCTCAAAACTGCCAAACTCACTGGTTTGACTGGAATCCTGCTGCTGCACAATTTTAACGTGTTTTAGAGATGGTTACGATCAAGTATAAGCTGTATGTAGCCTCTCTGGGCACCCATATATTTTGCACTAAATTTAGTCGGGCACCATTTGCACACGGTGTTGCAATTTTGTTATTGTGCATCTGGAAGCCAGACTGAGGGAGCGATGGTCGTGTATCTCTGGGAATCTGTCAATGCATTTTAATTAGCGCAATATGTAAGGGAGCAGACAAATGACCAGCCTGACAGCTCATGTACGATGTCGATGTCGCTGTGTGGTCTGACATTACCATTTTCCCTGATTTTTGTCTTGATTATCCAAATTTCCTGAAGAATGTTCGTGTCGGTTGAGATCGTAAGTGGGTGCAGACTTCTCAAGCCTTATGGCCTTACTGAGGTCACCTCAAGCTCCACTCTGAAAGATATTTTTGAAAGTTTTAAGGGGATCGAAGTGTCATCTGCATCATATCAGCCGACATTTGAAGAAAAAAAAAGTGGGGCCCAAAAAAAAAAAAAAAAACCTGCGTCGCCGGACAACTTTTGGGGCAAGCTCCATACCAGAAACGGCAGACTTTGTTTTGGTCTTAGGGTTAATGGGGGATTATACTGTAGAAAACTCTGTCCTTTTATGTTACGTGCGATCATTTTTATTTTCAGATAATGTCATGAAAGCCCAGGAAGCAGACGCCAACGAGCGCGCAGAGAAGCGTAAAGCAGAGGCGACGGTTCTGAAAGATCAGGGGAACCAAGCATTCAAGAAGAGCGATTACACACGAGCCATTGAGCTCTACACGCAGGGCCTGGAACATCTAAAAGACTTCGTGGTGCTGTACACCAACAGGGCACAGGTAAACAAGTCAAGTCTGTTACGAGCCAAGATCTCCGTATTCATGAAATGACTGAGAATATTTCTATTCCCCCTGGATCAGGCCATTGTAGGTTGCTCCCCAACTAATACCCTTACCATTTACATGTGTACTCCTGGGTGGAGAGAGGCAAGTGAAGATGAAGGCTTGTAAGAGAGATACGCAACGTTTTAATTTATTTCCTGAAAAGTTTTCATATAAAGAAGGGGGGAAAAAAAAAAGGAAAACATATCAATTTGGGAGGGGGGCCAACTCATCTTACATGTATGTTTTTGTAGTACTGCTAATAAGGCAGACGATTGTTATCCTGTTGAGACACACAACGCTTCGTTGATCACTATGCGGCAAATTTGCATCCCCTCTTTTCACTTATTTCCCCCTCCCCAAGGCTTACAACAAATTGGAAAAGTTTACAGAGGCAATGGTGGACTGCCGGACTGCCTTGCAGTTGGAACCAAATAAAGTCAAGGCATTGGTGCACCTTGGCAAGGCCCAGCAGGGACTGAAGGATTACGAGGCGGCCGTTTCGACTTACCAAGAAATCCTCAATATTGACGAGAAGTACGAGAACATGGTCGCAGGTGGGTCAGCAGTCTTCAGGCCAAAACCACAAACATGAGATGCGATCATACTAAATGAGTCATTTGTCGGCCCTTATCGAATGTTGTAGGTTTTTTTTTTTACATTTTTGAATAGAGCTGTATTTCAGTTTATATTGGGTGAAAACCACATGTAAATAGGACCTTCCGTTCAGAAGTTATGAGACTAAGAACACAGGCATATTTGAAACAAGAAAATGGAGAAAACAAACAGAGAAATAAACGATTCAAAATTGAAGTGTTTATTACACAACAATAAACATGCCTTATTTCAGGTTTTTGACATTAACTCCTTAGCAAAAATGTCACATTTTAAATACTTTATCCTGAAATTTTCTCGGGAAGAAAAAGTTGACATGTAAAAGGACATATGTAGACTTCCGATTTTACAATGGCACAAGCTGCGCCATTTTTTATGAAATCGACTGCTGCCCACTGTCAAAATTTTGAAATTTTCACCCTGACTGAACTTTTTTGGGCTTTATCTTAAAATCATAATTGCTGACAAACGACTCATTCAGCTTGATCGCATCACAAATGTGAATGTGAACGCGAATCTGAAGCTAATTTGAAGTCATTCAGGACACGTATTTAGAGTTGAAATGTTTGCAGATCCACAGTGCATTTATTTGCTGATTATTTTTGTGGATTTTTCATTTTCCAACAATCTCACCCCTGCACTAGGCTACATTGCAGCGGTGAATCTAGCCGAGTCCACAGCCAAGTCTGATATGGAGGCTGAGAGGCTGTTCAGTGAGGGCGACGTCAAGGCAACGGGCGTTCATGAGATCGGACTCAGTGGCGGTAAGCAAAAACTCTGCCATAATTTAAGAAATATGCAAATGTAGGTATGTAAATTGAATGTTTCTTATTCCCAAAATGTCCGTTTTTTAGCATTTCAAATAATCTTGAATTTTGGTTTAACTAAAGACCCTTTATTGGTTGTGCCATGACAGTGGGCAGCAGTCGATTTCATAAAAAAAGGCGCAGCTTGTGCCATGTGTAAGACTTACGCAACAAATTTGTTGCGCAGCTGCGCAATAAACTTACGATCAATCTTACGAAACTTGGCGTAGCTGCACAACGCTTTGAATAATTGGACGAGGATAAAAGCAGCATTTACGATGGCTGTTTGGGTGTGAATTTTTTCATTCGCGAAACAGTCGTTGGATCACCTCAGCCAGCCATTTTGAAAATCATTTTGTCCATCTTGTATCAACCTTGATAAGTTGTGCAATGAGCTCTATGACAGTCCTGAATTTGAATTATGGTTTGTGGGTTGTTCTGAATAGTCTTAACCCTAACCGCCCTGAATCCTCCAAAATCCTTTTTGCAAATTGGAGGAATTTGCAGGATTGAGGTTACATGGCCAAAGTGCGTTGCTGATTTCGGAGTACGCAGTGTCAAGGTCTTGGGCCGAATTGTGTTGTTAATGCTCAGCCATGCATAAATTTAGTCCTTGATTATACTTGACATCCTCCGCACTGCTCAAGGATGTCACTGCCTCTGCCTCAGCCTATTGACAGTCATAGCCGGAGGATTTTGCAGGTTTCAGGCAGTGGTCACCCCTCCATGGACCATATTCAAGAAACATGCTATTTTTCCATGAGGCCAATTGGAGGATTTTGCAGGATTGAGGCTACATCCTAGCAAAAAGGCCTAGGGAGTTAGGGTTAACAAGCCTATTAATTTTAGGGTTGACAGGTCAAAGGTCAAGGTCACTATTGCTAAAACAAAAGAAATCTTGTCAACGCAATTACTTGAGAATAATTACTTAGGAGTTTGAAATTTGGTTTGTGGTTTGTCCTTTGTTTTTGATAGTCTTAAGAGGCCTGTTGCTTTTGGGGCCGACAGGTCAAAGGTCAAGGTCACTAATATTGCTAAAACAATTAAAAAAATACATGTATTGTCAGCATGAATGCTTTAGAAATACTTAGGAACTTCATGTTTGGTTTGTGGGTTGCTCTTAACGTAAACACAGTAGCAGACAGTCAAGCAGCTCTGACCCAACAACTACCAGATGATCAACAAACGACTCAGTCTGGCAGCAGACAGCCTTCCCAGCAGGAACCAACGCAACAACCTCCGCCGCAACTACAGCCAGGAGCGGGTGAGACACAAACATTCGTCTGTAAACCCTGCATGTCATGACTCCCCTGGCCCTGATATTGGTTTCCTGACAGCATCCTTCCCTCCCATCCTTTGCATTGACGCTATTATAGGCACAATATATAGCATAGCAGAGTCCCTGAAACAAGGGGGACCACACTGCAGACTAGCCCCTGTCACCCCATGGCGAATTTTACTTACTATCTGGATGAAAGTGAATTTTCCCGTTCAATTCCGAGAACTCCCCTCGCGTTCCCGTACACGTTTATTCATTTGACTGGCAAGGCAGAGAAGAGGAGAGCTCTCGGGATTGAATGGGACAATTGCATAAGTGTCCAAAGTTGCTGTGCTGAACATATTAAAGCGCAAGCTTTGTTTACCATAAACAGCTGTTGAACTAAGCAATAAACCTCATGAAGATTTTGTACAGAAACGTTGTTTACTGTATTAATTGATTTGTGTCTGTTTGTAGGTATCACTGACCCTGTTCTACGCAAGATCTCTGAGAGGCTTGGCTCTGAATGGCAGAAGCTGGCTACACATCTCGGTTTAAGCGCTGCAGAGATCGACCGCATCGTGATGGATGACCCAGGCCAGACAGAGAACCAGATCTTCAACATGCTGGTCAAATGGAGGTGCCAACAATCCACTAGCGCGGATCAGAGGGACGTGTTATGCACAGCTCTGATGGAGATCGGCAGAAGGGACATTGTTGAAAACCTGTTAGGTAGGTATCAGAATGAACCACATCAATCATTGTTTCAATCGTAGCCTTGGTACATATGATTGAATGACAAAGCAAAACACCATTTTTTTTCTGGCCATTAAAAATAACTAGGTGTGCTTAAGGAAGCCTTTAAAAACAGTATTACTTTACCTACGGTGTACCTGAAATTAATGAAATACTGTTGTTGGGCCAAAAAAAAAAGTCTCCGGTGTCTGGTATGGAGCTTGCCCCAAAAGTGGTGCAGCGACGCAGGTTTTTTTTTCCCCTTCTTTTTTCTTCTTCAAATGTCGGCTGATGTTGCAGAAAACGCTTTGATCCCCTTAAAACTCTCAAAAATATCCTTTAGGGTGGAGCTTGAGGTGACCTCAGTAAGGCCATAAGGCTTGAAAAGTCTGCACCAACTTACCATCTTGACTGACACAAACATTCTTTGGGAAATTTGGATAGTCAAGAGAAAAATCAGAGAAAACGGTAACGTCAGACCATACAGCGACATCAACATAATGCATGTGCTGCCAGGCTGGTCATTATTCTGCTCCCCTACATATTGCACCATTAAAAAATTTTTTTTACAGGTTCCAGATACCTGACCATCGCTCCCTCAGTCTGGCTTCCAGACGCATAATTGCAAAATTACAACACCGTCTGCGAATGATGCACAACTTAATTTAGTGCAGAATATACGGGAACTCAGAGATGCCAGATAAAGCTTTACTCGATCTTAACCCCATCTAAAGACACGTTAAAATTGTGCAGCAGCAGGATTCCAGTCAAACCAGTGAGTTTGGCGGTTTTGAGACATCTTCTTTTATTTAACTTTTGTTTTAAAATTTTGCCGACGGGCATGGCTAGAGCGACGTGCATCTTTTATCTGCAATTCCAAAAAAAAAAAAAAAAAAAAAAAAAATTGAATAAATAAAAATAAATACCTTTTGTCTTGTCTGTCTTCACAAAATACCTCTCAACAACCCTTTTGCATCAAAAAAATGCTTGTACTTATTTGTTTTCTTACTTACATTCGCTATTTTTCGAAAGAATCCTCCATTATCTTTAACTACTTCGCAATTCGATGTCACGATGACTATAATCACGTGGCGACGACTGGTTCCCGCCACGCCGCGCAGGGGCCAATTTAGAAATGCGGTAACTAGTCTGTGCACGGCTATGTGATCAATAGCGCTAGCATGGCTATGCATTGCGGGCACGTGCACTGTCAAATGGTCGGATCCGACATCGTAAAAATACCAAGAAAACACCGATGGAGAAAGAATATTTTTGCAAGTTAATTCACAGAATTGATCTAGCTTGTCTGTGTATGTATTTGCCCTGTACAAGATTCATTTTGAGATCGCACTACTCGTATTTGGAGAGATACAATGCAGCGTGTTTCCCCGAAATTTTCGACCCGTTGGCCGCGGGCCACACATGCACAGTTCATCACACACTTCGGAGTTTTGGCCAGCTTCCCATCTTGACTAATGTTGTGCATATGGTGCGAATGACGTGAATTTTCCACTATTTTTTTACGAATTATCGAACGTCAATATATTGACAATAATTAAGGTAGGTTTTATTCACGTTTTGTGGCCTTTTTGTGTATAGCTTTCGTAGTGCAATGGAAATAGTTCAGGCTAAAACTTTGCATATAATTGAATAACCCTTTCAATCTGCATAAAAAAAATTGGCACCGACCGACCCTATTTTTGAGAGGCATGACCATGTAATCGGAAGCAGAACTATTATTTTTGTTGGCCTTATTACAAACCAAATTTTGGGGAAACCCATAATCACACAAAAACAATATTGAATGAGAAACGCATTTAGTTTTGTAATCACAATTTAGATTATTGCATGTGTGGTTTTCTTCTGCTTGCATTCCTCTCTTTTTTTGGAGGGAGAGGGGGTTGATTCAGTGGGTGTTCGCCGTAATCACACTCTTAAAAAGAAATTCCTCCTGACAATAACGGAACAAATATGACCAATCAACGTGCAGTATTTATGTTTTTATGACAAAACAACGCGCAGTATTTAAAGTTCCAGTTTATGAAGTGATCCAAATTTCCACGTTGACTTTATTACAGTTGTGTTCACTTGATTCGTGCGTATTTGTATGAATATTGTGATCTCGGGGACCCCAAATAAAATTTTAAAAATCTGGATAAGTAAATTTCAATCCTAGTGTACATTTTACTGGAAAGTACTAGAAACTGATACAAATTCAGTGCTTATGTGGAGAAAGGTAAAAAAAAAAAAATAATGCAGAAAAAAAAAAAGGTGGTGGAAAATGGACAAGCAGATTGGTTGGCTTGGTTGAATTGTAGCTTGAAAGAATTGTAATGAATCATGATAATTTGTTTTCTAGTAAATTACTCATTATAATTGTATGATTTGTTTTAGAAATCACCGGACTCCAGGGGCCGGTTACCTTTGAGGATTTGCAACAGGAAATTATCGACAACTACAAGCAAACAGCAACGACTATTCCTGCACACCCTACACTGCAGTCACGTCAAGTGGGTATTGAGGAATTCTTTATTCCTCTAAATCTCAAAAAGAACATTCCAGGCAAAACAAAATCAGAGAGGTCGGTGACATTACCAGAAGGAGAAAGATTGTTAGATATTTATCAAACTGTTAGACTAAATTCCTTGGATGATTTGTTAAATCCAGAAGTAGTTGAGGAAATCAAGATTCTTCTTATTGGTGGGGCCGGGACGGGTAAATCAACTCTGTTAGTGAAGGTTGCAAACTCCTCCATCACACCTGGTTCAAAACCCCTTCTTGGTAGATTCAATCTTGTGCTTTGGATAAAGCTGAGGCAAATGCAGCAATCTAGCTGTGTCTTGGATGCCATATTTGACCAAATTCTAGCACGTAACACCAAACTGACGAAACACATAGTGAAAGGGTTCATTGATGATCATGAATCAGGCATTGCTTTGCTGTTGGATGGATTAGATGAAATTCCATCTCATGTTTTGCACTCTGAGGAGGGCGAGTACATGGTTCAGGATATCTTACATGGCAAAGTCCTTAGAAACAGTTTTGTGTTGGTAACTACTCGACCACACATGACTGAACATGTATTGGGGGGTCCCCAAAAGTATGCAGTCGTTGAGGCATGTGGCTTCACAGCACAAGACAGAGATCAATACATCAGATTAAACCTTCCTGATGATGCTGACATGGGAGAGGCATTGGTTTCACATCTGAAAACCAATCAACAGCTATGGGAAATGTCCCATTTTCCAATCATTTCCCAGATGATGTGCCTTGTTTGGAAGAATCAAAAGTCATTGCCCGAGAGAATGACTGAGCTGTTTGCAAAGTTTGTAAAGGTTCTTTTCATTCGCCGCAATGAAGGAATGGGCGATCAGCACATGATGTCCATCATGATGTCCATCATTGATGACTTGGGGCGTGTTGCATTGCAAGGGTTACTAGACTCTAATGGGGAAAGACTCATGTTTGATGAAACTGAATTTCAGCATTGTCAGTCTTCCTTAGCTGAGGGTTGTCGTGTGGGTTTTGTTCAACGTGAAACGTTCACAATTGGTCTGGATGTAAAGGTGTTGGTCACTTTCCCCCACAAGTCCATCCAAGAATACTTTGCAGCATGTCACCTGGTGAAATTGCTACAACAAGATGACGAAAACAATTTCCATCATCAGTTGAAGCAGATTGGAGAAGGCAATGTTCATGCGATGGAATACCTGCTGAGATTTTGTTGCGGTAGATCAAGGCAGGCAGCTGGTCTCATTCTGGATCACATACAAGAGATGCAAGTTGATAAAGAAGAACTGCAGAGATTGGCTCTGTTACTGTTGTGTGACTCTGGTTCAGAAAATTTGGCTACCAAACTAGTCAGACCAACTGTGGTAAACTGCAAGAGTAACGAAGACCTGAAATCACTGAGCTACTACTTACAGCATGTCACTCCGCCACTTGAAGGTGCACATTTTCACATGAATGTAAGAAAGCAGGAGCTTACCCTTCTCAAGGGAATTCTTCCGAGTGACAGCATTGAGTCAGCTGGGCTGATATCGGTTAACTACCACTTGTCTGAGCAGGAGGGGGAGGAGCTTAGCCTCCTTGAGGAAACACTTGGTGTGGTGGATGAACAGCGCCGTGCTCAATTACACATTGTGGTTCAATTTGAGGCGAAGTCGTGGTTTGATGTGGGGCGTGTATCACACAGCTTTTTCCGCATGCAGGAACAAAAATGCAGGCTTGCTTTGGTTATGAACCAACGATCACCGGATGAGGTTGTTGATCTATTGAAGGCACTGGAAGGATGCAGGTTGGGTTGGCTCACACTGTATGACACTGACCTGCATGCACGGGTGCGAGATGTTAGCCGCATCTCGTCATCCCTTACACTCTTGCAGCTCCCTACATGCAGGTTGGGCGATGATGACGTGAAGGATCTGATCAGCATCTTTCCTGCTGGGCATGGTTTACAATGGCTTAACCTTGATGGCAATGCATTCAGTTTGGATGCAGTGAGGGCTCTCATCGGTCATCTCCAAGGTTTCCCAAAGTTACGGCGGTTGGGACTTCATAACATCGGCATCGATGCTAAGCTCATCAGACAAGTTGTCAGTCAAGACCTCCCTCGCCTGAAGGAAACACAAGAGGGATTATTCGAAGTCTAAATAATCTCCCATCAAGTCATAACTCTCTCCCTGTTCCCTATGAATGTACCACGCTCACGAGCCGCATTAAACCGAAACAAGTAGCACGTATCATGGGTCATTTTATGTGAAGTCAATGCTCTGCAACCCCCCCCCCCCCCTAAAAAAAGAATCAGTAAAAAAAAAAAAAAAAAAAAAAAAAACAACAACAACAACAATCAATAACAACAACAACTTTATTTTCAGAGGACAATAAGGGGCTCGATAATAATGAAAAAGTCAACAAAACAGTTTCAATACAAATAGAGTATTCTGAATCCTCTTACATTATGAATACAAATAATTATACCAAGCATAGTTCTTCACTCTACTGAACCTCCATCCCAAAAAAATTCAATCCGTCAATTGATCAATCAATCAGTGTGAAAAGTCAATCAACAATTCCTGTACAAAATGATTCATTGAAATCTTCAAACATAATAGCACTGTACTAAGCATTCTGGGTGTCACTTGAAAGTGATATTAAATTGACCTTGTATCTTGGGTGACCTCTGAGTACTATTATAAATCTACAATCTAATCGTCAATTAAACAGGAGAATCCACCTCTCCTTGCCATTTCTTTTGAGAAAAAGTATTGTATTGCATCATCTATGTAAAATTGTGTGAGATGTCTTCAACTTTTGTGACAAAGGCCTCCTCCCACCCTGTTATCCGATCAATGTAGTAATATGGCATTCAAACAAACTAATGTGACCACATGCAAATGGCTGCACGACACCCTTCCATAGACCAGTGCTGTGCAAAACTTAGTATACAGAATAATACCCCAAACCTCGGGTACTTTTGAATTGTTTTGCGTTTGCCTTATGTACAAATTCAGAAAATTCTCGCAACTTCATGCCTTCCAAACAGACGGTTTTTTTTAAGTGTTTGTGCTTCATTCTTTATCAAATCGTTCGTGTAAATTAATGTAAATTACGCATAAAATGGCAAAAATTATGATTCCAGTTTGCTAACTTTTGTATAGATCTTTAACCTTGACTGTTTATGTAATATACCTTTAAAGTGGTGCAGTTGTGTAAGGACAGTATAACATGGATTTTGTTTACTTTTCAACTATAAGCCTATGTCCATATTGAGAGTTACTAAACCAGTGTTCATACTGTCAAACAATTCATGTATAATATATACATGTAGAATGTTGCATTGCCAAATGACGCATTTTTGTCAGAGGACAGTCATGTTTGTTCATTCAGGACCAATCATTGCAATTGTTGTATACATGAAAATGTTTCTGTGTTTCTGATTATGTTGAAATAGGTACAAGTGGACAATTTGCTTGTTTTTATCATTGCAAGCCTCTTTAAAGTATTGATTGACACAAGATTGGTTTGTTCCAAGTATGATCAATATTCTGTACAAAAAGTGACATTTTTGTTTCTAACAGTTTTGATATTTTGCAGTTGCCCAGGTGATAGCAGTCGTTTATAACATGCCCAAATGCAACCATTCAATTTGGTAAAAGCAGTTCTGCAGGAGAGAAAAAGTATACTTTGAATCAACATTTTGATTTATTCACATTGGAAATGAAAACTGAATGTTAAAATGTTTAACTGTTGTTGCTGGCATGACACATGAAAGAAGATTTTGATTAAAATGAGATTTAAACACTGTATTTGCGAAGCTGAACTGATTGCAATTTTAAATGACGGGGATTTTTTTACTCATTAATTTACACATTTCAAGGGATATGGGATGGGATCATTTGCATTTATCCCAAAAGTAACCTACCGAATTGTAATCAAAAAGCTCACTTGGATTAAAGATCGTACTGGTACTAAACACCCCGTAAAATTATTCCATCTGGCTTGCTGTCATTAAAAAGAAATCAAAAAATGTAGGTGATTTCCAAGTCAATTGACTGATTTTTGAAATAAGAGTTCTATGGACTAAATCACGTTTATTGATCAAAAGTTTGTGCATGGATATTTCACTCTTTTCTTGAAAAGTGTAATATCCAAAGCTTCAACATGTTAGGTGTAGAGTATTCTTCTGTGAACAGTGATGATATTACATATATTGGAAACGAACAAATTGCATGAAATACAAATGTTCCTATGCCTTTAAGCCATGGTTTACAAACTACATAATTGTAATTTGTATCTTGTTATCATTAAATTGCAACTCTGTAAGATAAGGTCATCACTCGGGCACGGACTCCAAGTCAAGATAATCTGCTGACTTCTGGATAGTTTGGTTTCAGTCATAAAAATAAACCACCAAGGAGAACTGACTCAGTGCATTATAATAGCGTGAAAGTTGAACAACTTGAAACTTGAAAATAAGATTTGAAGGTTTGCATGGTGGAAAGGTACTAAGACAAGATAAGTTTGCGGTAGCACCATGTGAATAAATCAGTCAACTTGCATCCTTCTCAGCTTCACCGGTTTCGAGCTTCACCAGTTTGCATCCTTCTCACGCCCTCACCGCTCCCATCCTTATAATAGCATCATCGTTGGAATCCCTCATTCTCCTGACGACGGGTGGAGCATACTGTTCGAGACGTTAAGTCCCTCCGGTTCTTTTCAGAACCACACATACTCACAAAAGAGATTTATTCACATGGTGCTAGCGCAAACTTATCTTAAAAATAAAAATTAAATATCTGATATTTGCACCGTTTGGTGGAAGTAAGTTTATTGGTTAACTATGAGTAGAGATAATGTTGGAATTTGTAAGTCATTTGTATTATTTGTTATTGGTGCAGAAACATTTCTGATCTCTTCTTTTGTTTTTCCAGCTATTTTGGGCAAAGTTTAAGACGTCCGGGATTGTTATTTGACATTGTGTACTTTGTATGATTATTATCGTGTAATAAATCATTGCATGCAATGACTTGAGTCAATCAAGGAGAAATCTTTGAGGTTAGATGATTGTTGTGTTATGCCTCCATTCTTCCCTCAGTGATGGACCAATCTCCCGCCTCTGAACTCTACAGCTGGGTCACCACTTGGGTTTTGTAATCGGGCATGCAGGCTTCATAATGAGGATATCAAAAGAAATTCCTTAAAAAATATATCAACCCAGTCTCAAATTTACTTCATGCAATTAAAAAAATGATTAGACAGCTAAATCACTGATGGATCCAGAAGCATTTATTGCTGGGGGATCAAGAAAGGGGTCACCAAGAAAGGGGTCACCGACAGGCCAGTTGCTGCCAATTCCTTATGTGGAGGGGCGGGGCTAGATCGCATTTTATGGGAGGGGTGCAGTGTTTCCTTTCTTTTCTTTCTTTGTATTATAAAGTGGCAACGGGGATGAATAGCCTACAATTTCAAGTCGTATTAAAAACAGTCGTCTTCACTTGTTCCCTGGTGTATTTATCTCAAAAGGCATTTCTGGTGGCCCCACTTCGGTCTGCAAGAAGACAGCTTCTTTGATTAATTCAAGACAACTTCAAATAAGTTGAAGTTGTCTTGAATTATTCATTGTTTCATTACATTGTTTTGTTGTGGACCTGTTGTGTTTTGCTGTTGTGGGCTTAGCGACACCACGGTGGCTCTTGTTTGAAAACAAAAAGCCTTTTAATTTTTTTCTAGCACCCAATGAACACCACAAAATAGAACTTTACCAATTAACGACCCCCCCCCCCCCTTCAAATTCATCCCCTTTCATGAATGAACGATACTCGTTGTCTAGGCCCCACTACCAATAAACAACTCAACTTTAAAGAAAAAAACACACTTTTTGTTTAACTTCCCTTTGATATTCCCTTAAAAAAGATGTTTTTGTAAAATGTAATTAAGCTGTCTACATTATTATGGGTTGGAGGTGGGCAAGCACGGATTGGGGGGGGGGGGGGGGGAGGGGGGTGGTGGTCCAAACGCCCCCCCCCCCAGCTCTGTCAATTTGTTTTTCATAGAAATTCATTAAAATTAATGCGAACCCCCCTCCCCCCTGCTGTGACACAAAAAAAATTATATTGGGTAATATTAAATATGCTGGTAAAATTCCTGGATCCGCCCCTGGTGGGGTTATCAGAGGATAAGCTAATTTCGCCGCACTAAATCGAAAGCCCGCCCTCTATGGCTGAATTTATTAAATAGAGGAATATTATGTTAAAATTGTAATATTTAATAGAGAGGAATATTATTAAATAAAGGAATATATAGAAGTCACGGCACTCTAGAAATTTGTATATGGGCGTTGCGAGGGGGAAGGGGCGCAACTATTGCTTGATGAAAAAAATTGCACCTGTAAAAATTTGCATATACATTCCGCACAGCCTGGCTATACCAAATCAATGAAAAGGGGTGAGCCATCCATCAATACAAAAATACGGGAACTCAGTTCAAAACAAAATTTCCCTTTTAGCAAACTATTGAATTCGAAGACGATCTTTTCTTAGATACAGCTAGGTCTCCAATATTGTCTTACAAAAATTGTGAGAATTTAAAAAGATGATAAACAAAATTTGTGAACTAGAACTTAGGAAAAAAACGACTTTTAGGCCAAAAAAAAAAGTCTCCGGTTTCTGGTATGCGCGCGCGTCGCCGTAGCCATGCGCGTCGGCAAAATGAAAAAGTTTTTTTTTCAATAAAAGATCATGTCTCAAAACCACCAAACTCACTGGTTTATGACTGGAATCCTGCTGCAGCACAGTTTAAACGTGTTTTTAGATGGGGGTATGGTCGAGAATAAGCTTTATGTGGACTCTCAAGACTCCCGTACATTTTGCACTAAGTTTAGTCGGGCACCATTTGCAGTCATCAGCCGACATTTGAAGCAAAAAAGTCTGGTAAAAAAAAAAGCCGCGTCGCCGCACCACTTTTTGGGCAAGTTCCATACCAGAAACCGGAGCCTTTTTTTTTTTGGCCTTACCCCCAAGCTCAAAGAAACTGAAAACTAACCCACAAAAAAATGCCGGGTAAATCTTCATTGATAAATAAGGCGCGGCACAAATAACTGGTTCGCGTCTCAAAATGCCTTTGAAATCATTGCAATAGTACAGGGACCAGGGATTTGTTCACAAACCAATCTCACGTGGTTCGTTGCGCGTTCGTAAATTAGCGGGGCACGTATGGTGGAGGACTACGAAAAAACAGTCCAACTAAGTAAGTTTGCCAATTTTGGCCTGAAAAATTAACCATTTGGCCTTCAAAAGCTAGGTAGAAGTGACTGAACTACTGTAGATTCTTCTGAAGTTGATGCAGTGGAAAACACGGTTCGAAATCCTAAGTTTTTAAAGAAGGAATTCTGTCAGTTATTTTCTCTGTTTTCTGAGAATCTGGAAATGGGCGTGGTTTCAGAAATTTGACTGCGGAGAGGGGGGGGGGACCAACGGTTTATATGGAAGGGGGCAGGAGGAGCAAAAGGATAAAATGAACATTTGTGACATTTACAATGAATGCTGGGCATGGATAAAAACAGGAAAATCCCCAGACTTGTCTTTTTTTATTGAAGTTCAAATTTGGCAGTGGGAGTATATTTAGCCGGGGCCGGCTTTCTTGAAGCAAACAATATTTTGCCGGATAGGCACTGAACATGCGCAGTGACTTACATTTTTACCGTGATAAATGTTAATCTCGTTCCACGCCAAAACATTGTCATTGTGACTTCGTATTCACGAGACGGAATCTGACCATTTTACAATTTTGGACTTTATTTCCCTTTAATTAAAGATAGTGGATATTTTGCCAGAGGTAATGACGGCAAACTAACGTTTACTAAAGGTTTGCCGGCGGCAATCCATATCAACAGAGGGCGCTGTACTCTTTAAGATTGTGTGGCGAAACAGGGTAGTACAGACTGCAGCGAGTCTATCTCATGAATTATTTATGCGCGTCGAGAGCATTAATATTAATAGTGCGCGCCTTGACCAATCACAGACGCGCATTTGCACTGGTCTGGGCGATTTAGCGTGGTGTTCCGACATCGCCCGGGCAGTTCGGAAGATGGCGTCGAGTGTAGCATAACTGTTGTATTGTGCAGAGGACAAAAGAGCTGACGATCGACGCGAGCCGTGGCCGGAAGAATAATTGCAGCGACTGCATCAAGGAGCTTAGGTGAGCTTCAGTGCGACCAGTTGTGCAGCAATTTGTGCATTAAGACTGCCGAGTATTTGAGATAATTGTTATTACAATTTCAGCTCATCGTAACTCGTG